TTATTCTATTGTCCAGCAGGGACACAGAAATGTCAAGTCATCAAGAAAACATTCTCGGGGTGCCTGGGTAGTTCAGTGGGTTAAAGCCTTTGCCTTTGGCTCGGGTCATGATCCCAGGGTCCTGGGATCGAGCCCCGCATCGGGCTCTCTGCTCAGCGGGGAGCCTGCTTCCTCCTCTCTCTCTGCCTGCTTCCCTGCCTACTTGTGATCTCTGTCTGTCAAATAAATAAATAAAATCTTAAAAAAAAAAAAGAAAAGAAAACATTCTCGTTGGATGTCTGGAAGTCACAAAACCTACTGGTGCTTACTGCAGGGTCCTACTGAACCCTGTACCTTAGTGGATGGAAGTAAGGAAAGGTGCTTCTTACTGACTGCTGCAAAATATATTATGATTTCCCACACATTCAGGAAATCTGCTCATCAGAACAAAGTAGCTCAATCCAATCATGCTAGGTGAAATGAAATAATGGTATGGTTTACAGAATATCCTGATGTCCAGTATTTCTCTGACTCAGTGGCAGTTCAAACAGTTTTCACAAATTTTTTTGGAAGTAAAAACTTAGATTTGCTTCACTTAAAAAATAAAAAATGCATTACTTTGGATTTTAACAGGTAAAACTGGTTGTCTCATTTTTTCCATTTAAGTATTTGAATATTCCATAAAAAAACAGAGTATGTGTCATAATGGAAGCAGCGTGACGTTTGGAGTTACTGGAATTCTACAGACAGGAGTCTGAATTTCAGCTCTCGTGTACTAGCTGTGCAATCAGGGGCAAGTTCCTTATTCTCTGTCTCGGCCTTCTTATCTTAAAATAGGGTAATGTATCTAGAAAAGGTGTTAAGAAGATTACATTCAGATTATGTATTTAAGCTGTCAGAAATGCATGTTTCCAACATACACTGTTGTTTTCCCTGGCACAGTGCTGAAGATTCACTTACTCAGGATAAACTACTGTGCATCACAACAACTAAAAGAACCTGACAGCGTTTTAAAAAATTCACTCTTTTTTAGTTTGAAAATATTATTTGGGGGGGGGGGAGATAAGAAAATAAGATAAAATCATGGGGAGTGTTAACTGTTTTTAAAGAATGTATTTATTTACAAGACTAAAGACAAATGGGATTTACACTTGGAAGAAGTATGTTCACTTGAATCATTTGTTCAACATGTCAAAATAAAATGGATTCAAAGAAATTAAGTGGAATAAAGAGCCATGCTTGCCACTCTCTCTGGAGAAGCAGCCTGCATATACTGCCCACTGCCCTTATTCTGGAACGGAGCCAGCTTTACAGACAGAATGATCTTCCCAAGTCAGCTCTACACCTGAAATAATAGAAAGTCAAACTGCACCCAGACTAGTCCTTGCCACCGATACTCACAGTATTTTTTTTTTTTTACTGAAAAGAATCATAAAACCTTCTGTAAAGTGAGCAAGGCACTGCCTTATAGACAAAACAAACATCTAGTTTCCCTCTCCTGAATTTACCAAACTCACAGTAACTTGTTTTTTTTATGGTAGTAATTTGAAATACCAACACCACGTCTACAAAATCTAATTAGAGCAACAATAAAAAATTGAGGCTTTTCTTTAAGAAATGGTCTCCATATAAATTCCCATGCAATTCTCCTTACAGCTGCCCAAAATACACTATGTAATGAAAAACCAGACAGTACTGGACTCCATAAGCAAGGTCGCCACTATATCCTATAATTTCCATAGTCCACTGTACATTATAAAACCAAAACAGAAAGAGTTCCAAAGACTGAACTTTTCATTCTCCCAGTGGACTTCACAGAGATCGTCAGAGCTCTTGAAAAACTCTTGTCAGGTTGTCACTGATAAAGACAAAGCCTTTCAACCCAAGTAAAAGCTTCTCGTCTGATGCACCACTTCCACTCAGCAATGCTCTGTGATGGAATAAATGACAGTGAGGAAAAAAATTCTCCCCAAAGAAGTTTCCAGAATTTAGTAGCCAAAGGAGATAACCACTTCTCTGAAGAGTGTTGAGGAAAAGCACCTGTGCAGAACTGGCTGTTCTTGGAGGAATCTGAATGGGGTAAATATCGAGAAAATTCCTGCTGGTAAGGGAAAAATGAGATGTCCAAACTCATACCATGTTCCCAGAAGTCTGTTCTTTCAAACACTACCCAAGAAAATGAGTACCTTAAAAATCCTAAATTCAAAGCTTAAATTGTCAAATGTGGTTGAACCATGAAATGACTATATTATGGCGAGTACGTGGAAAATAGCCTAAAGTGTGCACGACCTGGACTGGGGATTCCCGGGTAGAGCAGGTGCTACGCAGCTTACACAACCTGAGTTTCTTCCCATGAAGGCGTGTCGTCACTTATACGTAACATATCCCATGGAACGAGAGAGAGCTGGAAGTTCTAAAATAGTCATTTGCTCTTGCAGAGGCTGGTGGTGATACTGTCCTATAAATACTGATTTGAAAATGAGTTTAAGAAGAAATGGAATCAAATCCAAACAAATGAACTAGGGAAAAAGATGAAAGGGACAGGACAGGTCAACTCCAGAATAAATCAGCCAGGGAATGAGCAAGACCTGCATATGAAGTCAGGAGAACTTAGTACTGTCATGTGGAAGAATATTACCTTCAAAATTTTGTAATTTTGTAAGATTCTGTGCCCCGAGCCTCTGAATAAGTCAAGGCCAAATTAAAGGTTTCTTAAAGTAAGAGAGATTTAATTAGCTCCTGACGTAGAAATAGGAACTAATTGTTAGAACAAATGCATTTAGTTTCAGACCAGGATCACTGCACCAAGTCGGACCTCGGCTTCCTCCACCCTGGGCAGCAGCAGATTCCAAGAGTCACACCCTTGCTCCTTACCACCCACCCCCCTAACAAACCCACATGGACCGCTGGACAAAAAATAAATCAGTGTTTACAGCAGGTGCGCTTCCTAGACTTCTGCCTGAACTCAGGAAGAAGCAGATGATATACATAATGGCATTAGGCTTATGACAGACTAGATTAAAATAAAACCTCTGTTAAATTTTGTGTCTTAAGGTAAAAATTAAGGCAGACTAGATTTTAAAATCTGCACAATAACCAGGCAGGCACTTCAGAGATGTAGGTACTTGTTGAAATAGAGTACACAAAGGTTAATGACAATTTCTAATTTAATCAGCTTCTGGCCTGTGGCTATTTACATAGAATCTAGTCAGACGTATTTTCCTAAGAGGGAAATGACTTGCAGAGCGTTAAGTCTTTCTTTGAGAATAATCTAATTCTACAATAGACCACATATAGGAGACTTTTCAATGACAGAAGCATAAAACACTGTAGAAATGTCCAGCCTCAGGCTCATTATGGCTTAAGAATAACAACACCTACCTCAAAAGCTTGTTGTACGGATTAAACAGGGTAATCTATGAGAGTGCTCATTAACACAGGGCCTGGCGCATAGTAAATGATCAATAAATGGTAACAACCACCACTGTGAATTGACACTGAAAGCAAAGGACTTGATATAAGAAGTAGAGGACTGCTCCGTATCACAAACTACTTTTCAAACCAATACATGTTTTTTTGATTCATACCATCAATTCTAGTTTATTTAAAATGAAGGGGACAAGCATAAGTATACATAAAATTAAGAGTTACAGTTCCTTCTTACAACATACCTGTAAAGCAGAGCTTTTTAGGAAAAAAAAAAACCAACAAAAACACTTTATTTCCTTTCTCTTGTTCATTTCTTGGTAAAAATATTAATACACAGTCAGTATTCATTTGAAGATAGAATAGGAAAAGGACAAAGCACATATATAAAATACCCCTAAACATGAGGAATGATCTTTATGTTATTCTAAAGTTCTCTATACATTTTTTACACATTACTTTTTTTTAGCCATGTAAGAATTCAAGAAAAGGTATTATTTTTATTTTATATATGGATAAGCTGAACAATGGAGCATTGTGTTCGTACATGTTGTGTATATGCAAGCATAGACAAAAACTGCTAACAGACCAGCATAAAATACTTATCTAACCTCAGAGACAAGTGTACAACCAGCTGGTATAGCCAGAGAAGATGGCATTAAATCAAAGACTGCTGTCGGTTTATCAGGAGACGGATGTGAACACGAATACACTATTTATTAATATAAATACCCTTTCTTAAAAATAATAAAGCCTCTGGCTTTTTAAAAAAATCTGTTCCTCCTTAACCTATTCAAAAAATAATACTGCCTCATTAAAATCAAACTACACAACTGACTTTTAAAATTTATTATATTTAGAAAACATTAGGGAGACCTAAGCATACACAAATTTTGTAAAATGTAGAATCTATCGTGGGTTGCTCACTTTGTCCTCTGGCTGCTACCTGAGAAGGCAGGAGCCCTTGTCTGTGGTCTTCCTCATTTAATAAAGGGTCAGGATGATGACCCCGGGCACCACACCACATTGCCATGTATTTTTAATAATTAGTATATGGAACCCACCAAAAATATTATTAGTGGTAAAAACTCAACATTATCCTTCAGGATCTGTTTGAAAGGTTGAAAGAGGCGTAACACTTGCAGAAGTTTATCAACAAATGTTTACTTCACTGAATATGACTGTTCGGATATATTACAACAAACACCACTTTAAGGACAGAAAGCAGATGAAAAGCAAAGCTAAAATCCTAAATCCAGTGAAGCACATTTACCTTGCAAAGGGGCAATGTGCATCACTAACCAGCATTTGTTTCCTGTAAGAAGTCTTTCCCTTTTTGTTTAAAACATGGCTATCCTCAATTGGCAATTTAGTATCATCTATCCATATTTGACTTGCAGACTAATATACTGTACTTTAGCAAATATAAACCAAGGCAAATTAGAAAGGTTTGAAACCAATAATGACGGGTCCTGGTACCTGAACACAAGTTTAATGCAGACAGACACTGGGGGAAAAAAAAAAAGTCCCTCTTACCTCCTCTCCATTTAAAGGTTACAGGACAGAGTAATACTGAATTAGGACACAGGCACAAGTTATGCAAATCTGATTTAATATGTAGTACCACCTACATCCTGCTTTCAGGCTTTCAGCATAATTTAACACATTCAAGAAGGCTACTTATATCAATTCAAAATACCTATCTATATAAATGGTTTTCAAACTGTTTTTAAAATTGTAACCGTCCCCTTAAAATGATTACACCTCACACAGAGATCATACGTAGCATATAAATAGATAAAGCAGAGGCGGGCTGGCTGAAAGTAAAGGCTGGTAGCTTGGAGTCCTTCCAACCACCTCTCAGAGACCTCTCAGAAATCCAATGAGCATAGCTTGAAAACCACTGAAATAATGTGATTTTATTATATCAGCAATTAAATTTATAACAAATATTTAAAGTTTAAGTTAAATAAGTCAAACACTGAATGGAATGTTGGGATCTGAAGAAGGCTAGCACTCAAATGAGCAGTTAAGTTCATCAAACAATATGTTTTAAATTAAAATACCCATTAAGAAGTTAAAGGGACAAGGTCAGGTTTGTACATCACCATACTATTTATTGAAGTAGAAAGAACTTGAAAAATTTTACTTGAAAACTTCAGTCTAGTAAACTGAAATCAGGGATAATAAAATGCTGCTCCTTATTTTTATTTCCTAAGTCAAGATTTGCCCCAATTATAAATTAGGGTAATTACACTGAAATTTTCATGAAAATTAAACAGTATTCATCATGGGCTTTACAGAAACCAATTTCTTTACAAAGTTTTGACCAAATGTTACCGGACTATGCCATTAACGAGAATTTTCCTTCAAAGATGTTTTTAGGGAAAATTTTTGTTTGTTATTCTTTTTAAAATTGGGTAAACTGTAAAACATCAAAGAAATGCAAATATATAGTAAAAATTACTTATGCAGAGTTAGTTCTAACTGCTCGTATCAAACTTCTCTTTAGGAAAATGTATTCAATACAATTGAATCAACACACAATTTATTTCTTCATGGTAACAGATTTTTCAAATTGAGTTTTTAAAAAGTACATTTAACTACAAAAGTAAGATTAAATACTTATAAAATATATTTACCCTGAAATGGTTAAGAATATAAAATGTCGATGCCCATATCAACAGTACATTATACATTACACGCATTATTTCAAGGTCATCTTCTTTCCAGTAATAATGTAGATAAAACCACAATATTTATTGCTTGTATCAAGTGCAGGTTAAAATCCAGAGAGCCTCCACAAACAAATCCTTGTGGTAAAGGATTTCTCGGTCTGGTCAGGTGAAATAGTACGCTTAACGTGTATGAATACAGTTGCAAAATGTACCAGTTTTCAACAAGCATTCAAGTCTTTATTTCAGATAGCCGTTTACAGTTTGGGGACAATGCCCTGAGATGTTGGGCTGGGGACTGAATAGATCACTTGTCTGGTTGGTGTCTATTCTTACCGCACTGTTTCTGGGGTGCGAGGAGCTTGCTAACAGACCCTTGTGACTAATGCAACACTGTCAGCTACTGGCGCAGCAGCTCGCTGGGCAGAACAGCTTGTTTATAGGACATTCTGCTGAAACAACAGTGTCCAGCCAACAAAAGCACCCACCAAAATGAATGACACAAACCCCATCTTAGTGAGAATAGGTTGCCAATATAACCACCTTTTCCTTTTTCGTTCAGTCTCATTTAGCCTCTGTTTCATCTGCTGCACCTTCTGGGCCGTGTTAGCTTTTCTGTCTTCTCGAATTCGTTTCCGTAGAACACTAGGAAAAAATTAAAACAAATAAAAGTGCATGGCAGGACTTATTATTCTAATATAGAGGACCGAAGCCCAAGCACCCACCTCCTCCCCAAGCCCCATATTTTAAAATACTGGAATAAAAGAAGAGGGGGGATTTTCAATATTCTAAGTGGTCCAGAGGTGTACTCTGATCATTCCACAACAACTTCTGGTACAACATTCTATTAATAAATACTTTCAGCAGGACTTGAAAACAAGCATGTTGGTTTCTTTGTTGAGATGGGAGCTGGTGGTTGTCAGCTTGCTTCCTTGCTAACCGGCTGGAAGAGGTGAGGGACAGGAGTCCCTGATAGCCGAGCCCCTTTCGTGTTTACATGTGATTTGTCGCAAAGGCCACTGGTAAAAGCTATCTACTTAATACTTCTGTCAAGATTCTACTGTGGAACGCCTTATTGCTCTGATTGTCCACACTTATTTCTGGCTTCCATTTTCCTATTCAATACAAAATCTTTGTTCCAATGGAAGCTCACCGACTCCCAAGACACAGGGTCCTAGGACATGGTAAAGAAGAATGGCCAATGACAACATGTACATTACTATTTCCTCCCTTTAAAAAAAATTTCACAAAACCCACCTACTCTTCTCACTTATTGCCTACAGTATAGCAAAAACCTAACTTGTGCCTCTGATTTAACCATTATCACCACAGCAATTTTTCTAAAGTACAGCTCTCTGGTTTTGTAGCTTGATTAAAAATCTTGAATGCCTTTTCAGTATACTACATTAAGAGCCAACTTTCCTTCCAGCCAGAATGTTTCACCTGAATCTAGTAATGAGAAGCAATCAGAGGAATCCAGATTGTGGAGTGTTCTAAAAGGCAACTGGTATAGCAGCTGCAAAAATGTCAAGGTCAAGGTAAGGAAAAATAAGAAAGAGGTGAACAATTTCAGATTAACGGAGACTAAAGAATCACATCAACCAAATACAATGCATTATCCTTGACTAGATCTTGGATTATTTCTTTAAATAGCTAAAGAGATTGGGATCATGAAAATATTCTGAAATTAGATTATGGTGATGGGTTCGTAACTCTGTAAATATAGTAAATCCACTGACGCGTATGCTTTAAATGAGTGAACTTTATAGTACATAAATTATATCTCAAGTAAAGTCATTTTTTTAAAAGTTTTTTTTAATTTATTTACTTGACAGACAAAGATCACAAGTAGGCAGAGAGGCAGGCAGAGAGAGAGGAGAAAGCAGGCTCCCTGCTGAGCAGAGAGCCCAATGCGGGGCTCGATCCCAAGACCCTGAGATCATGACCTGAGCTGAAGGCAGAGGCTTTAACCCACTGAGCCATCCAGGTGCCTCTAAAGTAATTTTTTTAAAAAGCTATAAGGCAGATTTCTTACACAACCAAAGAAATTTGAATACAGACTATATCTTAGGTAATTTTATCAATGTTCAACTTCTTCTACTGGAACCTTCAGACACGGCTGGTGGAAATGTACAATGATGCAGCCGCTATATAAAACTGGCACGTCCTCAAAATGTGAAATGTAGGGTTCCCTTAAGTCCCAGAAAATGCGCTCATAGGTAAATACTCAAGACAACTGAAAACATATGTTCACACAAAAACCATCCAGAGTTCTCCTGCTGTGCACAACTTCGTTCTTGCCCAAATGATTTTTTGCTTTTCTCCAAATCTGTTACCTTCAACTAGAAATCTCTCTGGTCCTCTCACTTCAATTCTGTTCTTCAATTTCTCCCTCTACTCAACCCCTGCAGCCCCTCTGTTCTTATCTTACAGCATTTAATTTACAGTAAATAATTTATGTTGCTAATCTGGGTTCTTATTTTACCCCCTAAATATATCTGCAACTCAGGGACTGTGATTTCCAACCTCTTCTTCACTTTACCTATCATATACCCAGGTGTCTTTGGCTGTCTGAACTCTCTTGAATATTTGCTAAAAAATTATTACTCAGAATTCACTCTTTGAAATTAAAATTCATTACTAGCAAATAAATGTGTACCCATCAGTGAAAAAATTTTAAATTGTATTCAAGTGCAGGCAAAGCATATATAAAATATGTAAAAGAATACAGAGCTCCCATCCAAGGGGCCAGCCTTCCACGCGTCCTTATATTTGCTTCTGTCAGGAGCCTGAGGCCACGAAACAACCAGGTTCCAATTTAGATGGAATCTTTAACAGATTATTTCATTTAAAATTTTCATTGCAATATAGAAGATAATTACAATTTTTATTCAGTGTTGATATTTTACCACGTAAACCCAGTGAGTTCACTGAGTGTTATATGATTTTACATAATTAGTGCTTTACATGTTATACAGCAGTTTAAGAGGATTTTTTGAGGATTTTTATGTTTAGAGAAATGGGTTATGGTTTTGTTTCGACTGAGAACACAGTTTTTCCCATTTGAAATCATTAATGGAATAGAGGCTCCTGCTTTCCAAAAATGGACTGTACATATGTTTTCAGGATGGAAAGAAAACAAATACCAAAAGATGTCATCACTCAGTTCAAGAAAGCAATTCCAAAGTAAAAACTGGTCTCAATTTGTGATACAATAAAATCTTTATTTACCTAGTTGGGCCCAAGGAAATTACCTCTATGTAATAACCTGCCCAGGTTTTCCTAAAGTCATAGAATTCTAAAGCCACAAATTGGCAGGGGAGGACTCCTGGGGACTCCTGCCTATGGAAGACCACGTGGAATTCCTCACAGCAGGCTGTAGCTGACCCATGTTTCAACAGACATGCTTCACACTCTGCAAGCACACAGAAGGGATCCAAATAACCTGACTTCTCATTTATCCAAACTGTTCTCCACTCAGTGATCTGGGTTTATGGATTGCACTGTAATTGAGAACGCTGGCTTTTAAACTTTGATGGTAAACCTTAACAGCTAGAAATATCTTACCATCACAACAAAGTAACTGCACACACGGACACATTTATACATATACACAATATACATGTCAATATGTAGAATTCATATATTATGTCTACATATATAAAAATGTTAAAATAGTTACTATTGGTGATACTCTGATCTGTTTTATTCTCTAATTTAAATGCTAATTTCTATTTTATTGTATTCTGTTATTTTAAAAATGCTTTTTTCATAACTTACTAAACTGATTTCATGACCATGGGAATGTGACCTTCAATATGAAAAAACTGACTTGAAGGATATTCAGTAATGAAAGAAAATAAAATATTGTGTCCTACTCCCTTGAAACTGAAATTCTTTCCATAAGATTTCGATTTATTAGCTTCCCTAATGCAAAGCTATATATCAGTATTAAAATCTATTAGGACTGAACAATACAGCATTTCATAGCAATCTTTACTTTATGCTCTTTCTACGACCGACCGACTCCCTCAATTAGTTCTGCTTACAATCCCTAGTTTCCTACAGGGACTTTGTCTCTGCTTTCAAGCATGATTGGTCTCCTCTCTCCTGGGGGCAGACAGCAAACAATACATACACATACCACCTCCTCACCCCTCAGGATACCACCTCTGCAATCACTATTTAACACCTGAGTGGTTTTCTTGATCTCCTCAAAACTGTGAAATTGGACAATGCGTGGTTTACCTTGTTGGGTCTGTGTCCTTAAAGATTAAAACTCAACACCTCTGAAATACTAAGAACACCAATTCAATCATCAAGCCTACTTTCCATTTAATTCTGCCCATTACCGAAACAAAACAACAACATTAGGAACCTGAGAATCTTATTGCTGAAAAAGATATGGTAATTTAAAACATGATTTCTTGATTTCAAAGCATTATACTTAAGGTGAAAGAAGGAATAAGCAATTAATGGTTTAACTTGTAGTCTAAAACCACTAGAGCCACAAATAAGGAGTAACACTGCTAAGTCATAATAAACTCTTCAGTGTAATACAGAATAACATATACACTATGTATTTATTGTAATGTTACCTTTCATAAGATTTCAAGTAATTTTTTATTTTTTTTTTATTTTTTTTTTTTTTAAAGATTTTATTTACTTATTTGTCAGAGACAGAGGGAGAGAGAGTGGGAGCACAGGCAGACAGAGGCAGAGGGAGAAGCAGGCTCCCTGCCGAGCAAGGAGCCCGATGTGGGACTCGATCCCAGGACGCTGGGATCATGACCTGAGCCGAAGGCAGCCACTTAACCAACTGAGCCACCCAGGCGTCCCTCAAGTAATTTTTTAAAAAAAGATTTTATTTATTTATTTGTCAGAGAGAGAAAGTGAGAGAGAGGTTGCGGGGAGAGCACAGAAGCAGAGGGAGCAGCAGGCAGAGGGAGACACAGGCTCCCTGCTGGACAGGGAGCCTGATGCAGGGGTGTTCATGTTCTCAGCTTAATGGACTGAGCCACCCAGGCAATTTTTATATTGGGGAAACACAGAAGTGAAGCTACTATAATATAGAGGAGACCTCAACGATTCTCATGGTGCCCCAATATCCCAGTGTAACAAACAGGACTAAAACATAAAATGTACCACTTAAATAAAAAGCATTTTTGACAGACAGAGAGAAAATATCAAGAGGGGCAGTGAACATGCTCATTCACTCACACCTCAGGATATCAGCTTCCTGCCGGGTGGGAGATAACCAGAGCCTTAGAAATGTAAAGGTTTCAATTTATTTTATTTTTATTTTTTTAAAGATTTTATTTATTTATTTGACAGGCAGAGATCACAAGTAGGCAGAGGCAGAGAGAGAGAGAGAGAGAGAGAGGTGGAAGCAGGCTCCCTGCTGAGCAGAGAGCCCGACACGGGGCTCGATCCCAGGACCCTGAGATCATGACCTGAGCCGAAGGCAGAGGCTTTAACCCACTGAGCCACCTAGGCGCCCCTAAAGGTTTCAATTTAAAAACTTAAAATGTTCACATTTATATGGATTCAAAACTCAAAAAGCAGAGAAAGGCAATTGTTTTTTGAAAAAGACTTCTCCCCTCCCAATAATGTAATGAAGTTTAAACACTCATTTAAATATTTGGTAATTTCATTAAAGGCGCATTACCCATTACATGGCAACTACAGCATGAACACTAATACTTGTATAAATGGTAGGTATTCATACCACTTATCTTCTGTTTCATACTATACATTTTAGCATCTAATTATGTTAACTTTAGCACTCAAAATAGTATTGAGTTAAACCATTTTCCAACTGGTTTCTGCCTATAAGCACTGGCTTCTTAATAGGGTTGAAAGCTCTAAGAGATCAATGATGTCATTGTATACTACTTAAATATCCTTAGGTAATAAATAAATGAAAAGCTATATTAATTCAATAAACAAAGGGCCTGTATTAGTTCATATCCACTGAACTTATTAAAATAAGACAGTCTCATCTTTTCAAGCATGTTATTGCCATAAGCTTACCTCTCGCTGTTCTCCTCCGCAGTATCCTGCATTTTAGAGGATAGTCCTGTGTATCTGTCACCTGTCAGTTTTTCTTCTTCTAGGCCTATCCTATTACCATTGTATTTTTCGGTCATTATTTTGGTTGGTGAATGATCAAAAGCAGGACATAAGTCTTCCTTAGAAAGTTCTTTCCACCGTTTCTAGGTAGGGAAGAGAAGTGAAAAACAAATGCAAACACTAAAAGTTTACTTTTCTTTAAATAAAAAGGTTATACAAATTGAAATTATATATTCAACTTTAAGAGAACCCTGTGATGCTAACAGAAGAATGAAAAAGGTATCTTACCAAAACCTCTTCTAGATGTGCCTATTTTAAATTTAAAATGTAAAAATAATAAAGTATTTAATATTTATGTATAACACTAGGCAGTTGAATATAATAATCTTAATGAAATTAAAGCAGACTTTAACCTATTGAGACAAACTATACTAGGACCTCACAAAAATATTAGTCATAGTTAGTGAGATTTTAGTCAGAGCCAGATTCTGCCAGACTCGTAACCCACAGGTATGTTAACACTGGAAACAGTGACCAAGATGCTCTTGAATGTGATCTAGCATCTCCTGTTCCTTGCCAGTCTGGTCTAACAGAGGAACAACAGTGAGATCTCCAGGCAGTTCTCTGACACCAGAGGACCTTAATTTGTTTTCTTCCAGCTATGCTAGTGGCTCCAGGTAAGTCAGCCCACCACCAGGTAAGACAAAACTCTGAGAGTATGCCTAGACTTGAGGAGGCAGGATTTAGACCAAGATCAAGAGAAATTCCATTTCCTTCCTCTAGGAAACAGGCTGTCATCACCTACCTTGACAGCCTATTGTGACTAATGACATAACATGTCTAGCATCACGTCTGGCAAATGTTAGATTATTTTGCCCTCACTGCACCAACCCTAGGGAGAAAGGAAGAGGTGCAAAGTATATATGGGCCCCTGAAAGCTGAAGGCAGTCACAAAGTGCTAGCCAGGGAGTGAGAAGGCAAGTACACCCTCCACATGAGGGACCTGTAGCTCCTCAAGTCCTTCAAGGGCTGCAAACACAACCATGCATCTCCAAGCCAGGGACAAGAGTAGGAGTGGTGGCAGTAAGAGCCAACGGTTTTGATTTTCTAGGACTCTGACACAGGTCAAAATGACCTCGTGGGGACAGGGGTGGTCCATCCCTCTTTGAAGATCTTACCACAGAAGCAAGGAGCCTGGAACTTAGTAAATAAGAGACTATAACTTCTTGCCTGAGGATTTTAAAAATTTTGAACACAGATGTAACAATGCAACTCACACCTGTCTGCAACTTCATGGAACACTCTTTCCCTGGAGCTGCTTTGGTACAAAATGGCATTGTTAAAAACAACACTTGTGTACCAAGATCATTTAAAAAAAAATCTTTGGAAAACTCATGGGTACACTGATAAATTAGTTTCTACTTATTTCATCTTCCTACAATAGAGGAATTAAAGAAAAAGGCATTTTTACCACACTCCACCTTCCCCATATGTAGCTATTTAATTAGGATGCATAATTAATGTATCTTTTTAATAGTAGTTGATAGACAAAAAATTTCAAGAATGCAAAATTCTGTAATTTGCTACATTTGGAGGGTAGTGAGTAGGAAAGTTTGGTCAATGTGACTAGAGGATGAAGACTATGTATAGCCTGACTCTGAGAGCTAAGGCCAGAAAGGAAGTGGACTTTGAGGAAAGACGTCTCTGAACTGATTTTAAGAATCACTGGGATGGAACCCACCACTCCTGAGCAAGGACCTAAGAGGCCGCAAACCATACCCAGAAAGAGTGTCTTGCCAATACTTGAGAAATTGCTATAACCGAACCTAAGAGTAAGAGGCTTTCACTTCAGAGGACTATGTCAGTTTTCTTTCTTCCCATTTAACATTTCTGTTACTCAGTCCAGACAGCATTTTGTATACTGAAGATGCACGTGGGGCAACTTGTCAAGCACTGACTACAGCCACACTGCCCTAATGCTGTAGCTGCACCGGCTCTTAATCCTCAGAAGAACCTCAGGAGATAGGTGCTACTACTGTTACTATCATCATCCCCCTTCTATGGAGGAGCTAGGGTGAGGGAACAGAAGTGACTTGCCTGGGCTAGGCAGCTAATGAACAGAAGGGCCAAAATTTTAATGCTATAATCCCTTATGGTTATTTGTATCTCTGAAAAACTTACCAATTTCCGATACAAGATAGTTTAAGAAAGTACCCAATAAAAATTGCTCAACTGTCTAGAATTTAGGCTGTTTGATTTTTTTTTAATTTGATTCTTCCCTGGGGACCTAGTCATAACAACCTGACCTTAATATTTGGACAAAACTCAATAATGTCAATAAACAAAAGACAATGACAAAACTCAAACCTTACTGGACCACTTTCCAGAATTTGCAACAAATCTGGAATCTGTCAACAAGAAAAGGACTCAACAAAAGGGGCAGGGGATGGGGTGGAGAGAAGGAGATATTTAATGCTAGTAAATTTAAACAAACAAACAAAAGGCAGCGTCATTTTGCCTTGTCTCTGGGCAGCAAACTCACTCAACTTTGCCTTCCCTGTAACCCGCAAGCAAGCAAGTACTTCGAAGTCGCCTGCCTTGGCTTGTCACTGCTGCCTGGGGAAGCCAAAGAATCAGTACTGCACTCGACTGCAACTTCATTCATGCTGTCCTCCTGAGGCCTGGAGTACAGGTATCTGGACTGAGAGTTTCTTACCTTCCCAAATCTACACTCATGCTGCACCATACTCCTGCCTATCAAGGGCTGCTATGAGCAACACCCCAAGAGCCACCTGCAACCCCGCCCACTTCTCACTGAAAAAAGTCCCTCGAAGGAGCACTTGAAGTGATGTCATTAAACTTGAAACCCACTGTAAGTACTTTAACAGTAGCATGAAATTGCCAGTGGCAGATCTTAAAACACCAATTCTGAATTGCCAATCGAGATACGTTACTCTGAGGTTTTCTGGAATCATGGATCCTGGGAGTGTGCTAATAAGTGATACGACCAAGAACTATGATGTCTTTTTATGCCCAACCTTGTGCCAAGAAAGACGTGAGGTAAAGGATATATTCTCAGAGACAACCAGAAGTTATCTGTATTTATCCAGGTAGGTCAAGATCATTGGAAATTTCCAAAAATAAATACATGCTGTGTGATTATAAATGCGTATGTATATTAACTGATTTCAGAAACAATAGCTTTAGAGGTGAATATTAACAGCACTCCTGTACCCAGGCAGGTTCTAAATCACTTTGTATCTCCATAGGTCAGAAATCATCACAGAAAAATTAACATAAAACTGTATCCAATAAGGAAAATACCACTCACGTAATATAAATCCAAATGAGGACTGAAGGTGAAGACAGTTGTCCCCTTTAGGAAAAAGTACCAGAAACAAAGAAACAAGGCTTGGGGGCTGCTGAACACACAGTTCTCTGAAGACACGCAGGTTCAGGAAGCATCAGCACCCACAAGCCCGGCCACAGTGCTCACATGAGAAAGAAGCTTCCTTCTTTCATCTTACAAATATTTCTTTCCCCAAAATTCAGAGGTCAAGAGGAGGTAGGCATATGGAGAGAAAGAAGAGTCTTTTTATAAATTGGCTATCCTACCCTTGTATGCCAAAAGAGATACTTTTATGAGTCAGTTATATTCATGCAGTTTGAGGCACTGACATTAACTTTGGATCTTATGATTTAGGATTTCAGAGAACTTTACTTCTCTTAGATTTTTATTTTAAGCTAAGGTTCTAGAACAGTATTGTCCAGTGAAATGTAATGGGAGTGGCATATGCAATTTTCAAATGTCTAGTAGTTGTGTTTTAAAAAAGATGAATTTTAACAATATGTTTTATTTAACTCAATATAAATATTGCCATTTGAACATATAATTAATATCTTTAAAATTACTGAGCTATTTTATACTTTATCTCCCTGTATTTCATCTTCAAAATCCGGTATGTGTTGTTTTTTTTTTAATTTAAAGATTTTATTTATTTATTTGACAGAGATCACAAGTAGGCAGAGAGGCAGGCAGAGAGAGAGGTGGAAGCAGACTCCCTGCCGAACAGAGAGCCCGATGCGGGACTCGATCCCAGGACCCTGGAACCATCACCCAAGCCGAAGGCAGAGGCTTTAACCCACTGAGCCATTCAGGTGCCCCCAGTATGTGTTTTATACTTTAAGCAGATCTCAATTCAGACTAGCCAAATTTCAAGTACTCAGTAGCATATCTGGTTAATGGCTTCAGTATTGGATAGCAAAGTTCCAGGCAGAGAAAATTATCCAGGTAAAACAAATCCATATTCGTTTACTCATTAATTATCCTTATAATAAAAAAAATTATAGCACCACATAAACTGTAGGAACCCTTAGACCATTTCTGTGGAAACTGACCCCTTCAAATGGGTAATAGGCTTTTCTGATCCTGAGTACCTGAAAAATACAGAGATGTTGCCAACATCCCACCTGAAGAAGGGGAAGAGAATGCCGTGGGTTTGCATGGAATACTAGATGAAGCTACATGGAGAATCTGATGGCTATAACATACCAGATAAACTGAAACAAACAAACAAAAAATTCTCCCAAACCACAAACTACACAGCTATAATAATAATAAAAACCACAATAAATTATGGTCATAAAATTCACCTCTATAGTGAAAAAGATCCTCAAAGTAAGTGAGTATATATTCTGAAACTAAGGAAACATGAACAAGTTTTAAAGTGGAGGGAGGGAGACTATCCAAAGAATAGCACATTTTCCCCACAATTAGTCTGTAAGAATGACCAGGAAATAAGCAATGAACAACTAGGGAAGCTACAAGTGCCTGAAAAAAGTTTGGTTTAACTATTTAACATTTTTCCAATCAACTCCAAACTGGAGAGAAGTTCACAGAGATTATAAAAAAAAAAGAGAGAGAGAGAAAGAATGAGAGACACACATACACACACATTTTCCTAATCTTAAACATCTGAGATAATTTTTACTTCTTCTGACTCACTGTTCACTGCCAAGCAAACCAAGTGTTCCCAAAGTCTGACTTCTGAAGAAGGGTCTCATGTTTTGTGGGCCTAATCTACACGCTGAGTATTTTATGGACGGGTGCAATGTTTCTCTTCATTAAAGATTTACTCCTGTTTCTTGGTTTGCCTATTTTTTTTTCTCCTTTACTTATTTGTTTCTTAAATTCCACATATGAATGAAGTCATATTGTATCTGTCTTTCTCTGACTTACTTCGCTTAGCATTATACTCTCTAGCTCCATCCATCTTGTTGCAAATGGCAAGATTATAAGCCTTCAAAATTTTACTAATAGTTTGTCTTGAATAGTTAAAATAATACTAATGATCAGAACAAAAGTTAGCTGAGAAACAAAATTGCTTAAGAATATTTTAATGCCTTTGAAATCTATACAACACTTAACTTATATTTAATTCCATTACCACAGATGGTCTGAGTTATTAAAAAAAGCCTTTTGCAGAATATTTGTCTTGCCTCACAGAAATTAAAGAGCCAGTATGTATGTTCATAAGAGAAACAAAGAGTTTTTGTCTACTTGTGTCCAATACTATGTGACCAGATAGGACAATAAATGTTACTTCTGTTTCTATTTTATATTTTATGTTGGTACATAACAGATTTCGGATAACCAGTCTTTGAACCTAGTTTTTGCAAATGTGGAATAAAAATGTTTTCATGAAAGCATAGCCAGTAAGCAGAGAAACATAACCTTCTACTGGAACTTCATTACATCTGCCATAAGTACTCGAGCTGTTCACTGTTAACAAAATTAAAGCATCTATTACATAAACTAAGTGCTCTGTAATTGCAGATCAAGCTTTTAATGTGCTAAAATTACCAAAATTCTCTGGTTTACTTTAATGCTTAAACTAACTTCATTATATGAAAATTCCACTTTAATAAAATCTTGTTCCCACTAGGGCTTTTGAGTAACAGGAAAGATTTAACATGAGGCTGAGGTATATATGAGGACACGAGCTTAAACTTTACAATTTTAAGATGGCCAGCTGGGTTTTCCACATGAATGGAAATATGCTTTTTGGAAGGAAGGGAGAAAACAAGTGCTTCAGTGAAGTACAGCCGTTATTTGATGCTAATCATACATAATACACAGGTATTATTTGTTTCCCTAAAAAAGTTTACCTGTATATTTGAATCTCCCTTTATAAATTTTCCTCCTTCTATTATAGTCATATATGAAAATCTGAGTTGATCTGGTGTCTGAATAAGTCCCATTCGATATTTCCTCATATTCAGTAACAGTTGTTTAATGTTAATATCATCTCCTTTTTCCATCTGCAAGAAAGGTAAAAATTATTCAAGGCTTTTGTTGTTAAGAGTCCAGGAAAGAGAAGCAATACGGACAGCTAGCTGCTAAGCATTCTGCAGTGTGCAGTGGGTCTCCCCAAGAACAAGAAAGTAGCACTGCAGCTGTAACTCTTTCTATACAGAACAGCTACCCCAACCAACCACCTTTCCCACACCCCAACTGTTCAAGCAGTAGATGGAGGCCTTTAACTGATACACAACTGATTCCAAACCAATCACAGTAATCTTATTTACTCTGGCCAGTGTTTGTCTAAGGAAGAACTTAGGAACAGTTTCAGCTTAATGTAAAGATAAATCCAATGAGATTAGTGTTTTGTTTTTTGTTTTTTTTTTTAAAGGTCATGACAGAAGTAAATCTTTTTTGCCCAGTGCCCTTCTGCCTTCATGTCTGTGTCCATAAGCTATCTAAAGATGGTGGAAAAGGAAGACAGGAAGAGCCTAAGTTTACAAGGACACTGTTAAGTCCCTGTACCAGCTCCGGACTATCGATCCCATATTTTAAGCAGCATAACCCTCGGCCCTGCTGAAAAAGAATCAAGTGGAAGTTCTGTCAGGGAATAGGCACAAACACACACCCCAGTTTTTAATAGTCATTCACCAGGAAGTGTATAGACAGTAGAATATTTTGTTAAACGTGTTAAAGTTCACTTTAATGTAACAATCAGTTTAAGATTTTATTTTATCTGAGCATGAGAGAGTGTGAGTGTGGGGCAGGAGGGGCAGAGGGAGTCAGAGAGAATCTCAAGCGGACTGTACTGAGTGCACCACTGAGATCATGACCTGAGCCGAAACCAAGTCAGACGCCTGACTGACTGAGCCATCCAGGTGCCCCAACCCAGTTTTCTTTTAAACTTTTTAAATTTAAATTTTAATTTTAAATTAAGTATGCTCTATGCCTGACATGGTGCTTCAACTCATGACTCCAAGATCAAGAGCTGCATGCTCTACTGATGAAGCCATCCAGGCACCCTGTAACAGTCCAGTTTTTGATTGAAGTGTGTATTACTTACAGGCAGAGTAGTGAAGCAATACAGTAGATGTACGAACATTCAACCCTTCCTGCGCTCCAGAGATGCCCTATGCCCCAAATAAGGAAAAAATGGACATTCTAAAAAAAAAAAAAGGCATGTGCCTGTATCCAGGCTGGGCTGGGAATGGGTTGGTGGACAAAGAGTATAGCCCTCTGGGGGTAGAGATTGGAATCTCGGGGGAATAATAATACCAACATTTACTGAGTGCTTAGAAAATACCAGGGACCCTAAGTGTTCCAAATGTATTAATTCATTTAATTCTTGCCACAGACCCGTGAGGAAAATTGTATCATTATCCTTAGTTTGTAAATAAGGAAACTCCGGGCAAGAGAAATGTTGTTTGAGCTGGAAGGAATTCAATATTTTATGTCAATGTGTATTTGAAAAACAAGGAAGAGGAAAGACCTATTATTTCTGTAATATAAAGCTATCAGGGGGGAAATAAAAGTCTTCTTGGAGATCTCTAGAATCATCTTGGATAGAGCTCCACCACTCACAAACAAGAGGCAGTTTTTAAAAGGGTATAAGTGAAATTTTTTTAGGTTTTTCTGAAAAAGGCAGAAGTTTAAGTTTTGAAAATCACAGTTCTGGGATATTGACATTAAAGCTTACTTCTGCCAAGGAAAACAATAAAAAATTATACAAGACTAAAATTAGATCATCAGCAGCACTTACCAGAACAAGACAGGTATCTACTAGAGAAAAGGTGCCTGACCGCCCAATGCCCGCGCTACAGTGGATCACTGCAGGCCCGTGTTCAGGATTCAAGGAACCAGACTCTCTCACTTTAAATAAGAAATTGAGAAATGAAGCTGGTGATTCAGGGACTCCAAAATCTGGCCAGGTAGTATAATGAAAGTGAGATATTGTTCTGGTTTCACCACTCTAAAAAAGTGAAAATCAAGGGAAAAGTTAGTTCTAATTTCTTTTTGTTGAAAAAAACTACTATGTGTTTTGTGTTAATGTTTTTAATACTGGTGATTTTTGTTTGGTTTTTGATAATCACTCACACAAGTTGGGAGTTCTTCAGGAGAATTTGGAATTTATTAATGATAGTATTTCTAAAACATTATTTTGCAGGCATGTCCTAAGCTTTTTAGGTATTAAGTCAACCCCTACAATGGTCCTAATAAAACCCCTTTTCCAGATGAGATAACAGAGGCAAAAGGTTAAGTAATTTACCCAAGGTGACACATTAAGAAATGGAAGAGCCTGAATCTGAAACTGCAGTCTGGGCTCTTAACCACCAACCTACACCATACGTGTTGCCAATATTTTAATTCATATATCATGAGGAGTATTCCTTTTTCTTTTCTATTAAAAAAAAAAACCCTACCAGTATAATTTTACATTCTTTAATGGTTTCCCTTTTAAGAATGGCCAACATTTTTAGATCTAATTTTTCTCATTATACGAGTTATCTTGTAGTTTGTGCTACACAGGCTCAGAGGAGCAACTCAAGAATTAATTTAAAGAAACAATCTTTACATTTTTAATTGAAATCGTTCTTCTAACTGCTGCTCTTCCCCATGGTAATAATTTCCAATCCCAAAACTGTTTGTAGGATTTAGCTGATGTGCTAAAATGGTTTACCAATAAGCTCTATGCTTCCTGTCTCTTCAAGCCTGCCTGGCATTCACTATCACTTCCTGGATCTTCCTGATGAGCTTTATTTCTGACTAACTCATTATGAAAATGTTCCTAAGCTTTTGCCAGCTGCCTTTTGCCCCATGAAGCACTTTAGTGTCTTCCAGTCTTCATTTTTGTAAACCGAAGCAGTAACTCTCTAACGTATCTCTGAACAATTTCTCAGTTTCACTGTAGGATGTTTATGGAGAGAGAAGCCATACAGGCAACATTAGGGGAAAAAAAACCCACCACCACACCATAATTTTAATGGTTAACAGCTAAAGATTATTATTATAGTATCCGGCTTTTGGTACAAGTTTTCAGAATTAATATTCATGTTATAAAAAAAAAATTTCCCCCTTTTTCAGTAGAAATGAAGACTCCTAAGTCCCAGAATGGTTATACAAGGTATAACACTGATTAAATACAGTGTAGAAATTCTTTTAAAAATTTCAAATTATATACTTTCAGTGACTAATTTTCTTAAAATTCAGCTTTCATAATTCCAAATACACTCTGATCCATAGGCTCTCAGTACACTGACAGTATTAGAAGACAGAAATCTATTACTAATTAAAATGATCATTGGGATTCCTAAATTTCAAGACATTTCCTTTTTAAAATTATAGCTTATTGTATGTAAAAAAGGGGGGGGGTTAAATTTACTGTATTAAAAAAAGGTATCGAAAAAATTCCAAATTAAGAAGGCTAATCTTCAGTTTCTTCTTACAAAGCCATAAATAGACACCTAACAACACAATACCAGCACAGAAATGGGCTAAAGTGGCTGTTCCTGCCATAGCCCAGGGGCATGGAGAACTCAAAGCCACATCTTCCTTTAAATGGGGTCTAAGATTCCAGTGGGTATTTTACCCCTTATTTCCAGCCCTCCCCACCTCCCCCCACCCCAACACACACTACCAGGCTGTGGTCATCCACTACGCTGACCTCACAAAGCAGGGCCAGATTCTGCCATGTGAGCCTAAACCAGGTCCAGTGTGGACCTGCTGGAGCTACCTGGTCTGAGCGGTGGTGCCAGAGCCCGGCTCACCTATGAGCTGTGCTCTGCAAGGTACGGCCCAATTTCCGACACAGCTGTATACTCACTTAATGCTACTTACTGCATCACCTCTGGCTTAAAACCTACAGTCAACCCACAATCCTGAGCAACTGCTTGCTTTTTTTTTCCACTTGTATGATTTTGGCTCAAGACTAGCAGTCTCTTGATTTTTTTCAAATTCAGGTCACGCTGTCTGGGATACTCAAAGCCAGTTCCCAGAAATGTTCACGACTGTTTGTATAATGCAGTCTTCCCCACTAATAGATTTTTGAGAATCAGTCTTTTTTCTTCCCCTAACAGGACCAGTCTAAAGAACTTCTTAAGAAGTTAATTTTTACTAATGTATCCCTGCTGAAACAAGATTCAAAGTCACAGCTCACAAAAATCATACAATTCCCAAGAGACCACTTCATGAAGCAGTAAGATCCATATGTTTACTACTGCGATAGAAAAGAAATGTTTATATGCTTAACTGGACCTCTTCTCTTTTTTGTGCTGGAAAAAAAAAAAAAGGGGGGGGGGGGGGGTGCTGGGGAAGGACTGCCAAAGGCTAGAGAGTTAAAACAAAATTCATCTTTATTCCAAACAAACTCTCTACATGTAGCCTTTGCAATTTTTGACAAACTCCCTATTTCAAAACTGGTAGAAGCCCCCTTTCCTTCTCCCAGGTCATCAAGTCCCATCAGTCCTCCTGTGACACCCAGCTGACCTCTCCATCCCCTCTCAATGCTGACCTCACACCCCATGGACACTGGTTGCATCTGCAATTACACGGCAGTCCCCACCTGCACATGCCTGCCAAATCTCCTTGTAAACACTGACTTATGAACACCACACTATGCACAGAATGTCAGTGGTTCACTCTTCTTTTTAAGGCAAAATGTTACTTAGATATTTTGAAGGAGAATTCTATCCCTGAATAAGGATATCTAATTCATTATATATGGAGGCCAGGAAAATAAGCTAGGAACTGAGTAGGTGTTAAGACCAGGGGCCACAGCCAGGCTTATGGCAATTTAAGTGTGTGCCGCCTAAAGCCATTCAAATTCAAGTTAACTACTATTTTATACAGACAGATTAAGATTATAAATTTTCTAATTATTACGAAGAAATCTACACGGCTCTTTGGTCCTAGGCCCAATTATTTTCACACTTTGGGCATTTATAGAAGTACCAAGATTATGTTTCCAAGACTTTCATCATAAGCCCAATTTTGTCATCTGTAAATGGTTAAAAACGGTACTTACCTTACAAGGCATAAACGAAAGGAGTATTTCTCAAATATTATTGAGGCATTAATGAGGAATAAATGAAACCGTGAATGTGAAGTGCCTAGCCTATGCCTGCGTATGGTAAATACTTAACAGATACCTTTTCTGAAGCAATTACACGAATTGTCTCTATTGTAGTTCCTAATAAGCGCCAATCAATTGTAAACCTCTCCACATTTTCAACTGTTTAACTTATTATTTCCTCTACACCAAGCAGTAGCAAAGTTTGTGAAACCTATCTCCTAAATACAAATTTATATGAGATCTGTAGCTCACCATAAGTGCCTCAGTTCAATCCCTCATTAATTTTTGCCAGGATCATTATACGGTCTGTATTAAATATTTAGTTACTGCAATTCATTCTGAAAGATGAACTCATCAGATCAGGAGGAGAGGAGAGTGACAGAAACAGGTACGCATGGGGCTTGCATTCTGAGAGAGAAAAGCAATACACAGAGATGTGGGCCCCCAGGGATCAGCCTTTTTGAGAAGTGTAGGGCTGTTAGCAAGAACAAACACTGAGTATCTAGACAAGGAGGAAGGACCAGTCTGGGCCGGGTCCTGGACTTCTGCATTGGCCACAGAAAGGGTTTTTTAGAGCAAAGTGGAAGGATCATGCCTGTGTTTTAGAATGACCACTCACTTGGTGAAATGGCAGAGGGAAGCACAAAGGTAACAGGTAAGGACTCTATCCATAGGGAGCTGAACACCTTGTTATGGAGTCAAAGTACAAAGTACTAAATAAGCCCATAAAATGGTAAGATTTAAATTATGGAGACAAGTGTTAAAGATTACAGCTATTAGGAAGGAACGCGTCACAGATGAACGAAGAAAGCCCTAACCAAGAAATGGGCCACAAGGTGGTCCTGAAGGGTGTGCAGGATATAAATAGGCAGAGAAGAGAGGATGACACTCCAGGTGGGATAAATTGTTCAGACTATTTTGAATCAAATCCCAGACGAGCATGATAATAATTAGGCACTCATCCTGTTCTGGGCAAATCTACAGGGACAGAGAAAGAGAAGGCAGTCAGCATTACAATAGTATTCCTGGAACTTGATAAACATAAAGCCGGCCAACAATATTATGGAAAATAGTGAAGGGCAACTGAAAAGAAAATCCTGAAAGACAAATAAGCACTCAAGATGACCTTACATTTTTAAAAGCCCTGCAAAACCTTCCCCATAACTGAAGCCACAGGGCCACTTCAAAAGCAGAGATGGAGTCTCTTCATTCAGGGGCAAAAGTTCAAACTCTGAGCTCTGCTGAAGACACTGGAAAGGGCTGCTGGTGTGCAGCTTTATGCTCCCTTAGACCAGAGGGCAATAAAAGAGCAGGGACCACACAGACCCACGGCTTTGGCCCCAGACCTGTTAATACATACAAGTCACACTCCTTTAGCAGCAGGCTGGTTCTCTGCAGCTCAGGATGAGGTTGGTGACCTCTCCCCACCTGCAGCATCACCGTTCTCACTCCTTTGGTATTTCTTTCTCCCTCAACTTATTCTTCTCAACTGCCCTTGCTCCTGTAGTCCTTCCCAATTCACTGATATGACAAAGGAAACAGATGCACACAACTAAAGCTACTAATTGTGAATTCTGCATGGAGTCTTAGGCCTGTTATAGCATTAATTCCCTTGATCCTTATAGCAACCCTCTGAGGCATGTGGTCCTTATCCTCATTCTGTAGATGAGAAACTGACACACAGAGGGTAAACAGTGGAACCAGCCACACAGCCTGGGATTTCAACTCAGGCAATCTGGATCCAGAGTGGAAATACTTAACCAAATGCAATTCTGCTTCTCATGTCGAAATGCTACTTTGTTCTTCTAACATTCCTAGTTCTTACTAAAGATTGTAAGATAGAATGTAAGCATACTGTTGCTATTAATTATGGTGGATTCTGAACCCAGGCCAATAAAAAATCACTCAGTCACTAACAACTGAAACAGTGGTTGGCCAGTTCATAGTTCACAGAAAGATGCTTTAGAACCAAGAATCTTCCTTTACTAGGACAATTAGCACTTTTTTCAAAAGACTTAGCCCCATATGTCATTCCAAGTCAAGAGATCTGGATTTGAGTTCTGGCCTGTCACTTATCAGCTGAGTAATCTATTTACAGGAAAAATCTTATAATCTGAACGGATTATAGTTTTTTTAAAAATACTGGAAATATGGAAATATTAAGAATATTTACTCTATCACATTATAGGAAGACTAGGGGTCAAATCATATATAAGTAAAAGTGCTTGGCAAAATGATAAAAAACAAAACTCATTTTATTATTAAGGTATAATCAACTCTTAATTAGGATAGGTGTCAGAAACAGGGAAAAACATCTATGACCTTCTCCATTCAAGTAAGTTTTTATGCCAGAAGCAGAGGAGGTACCTGGGATAAATACCAAGAGAAGATGATTCGAAGAATCATGGGAAGTTTATAGAAAAGCATTCTGTTTCTGGGAATGAGTACTGCACAGGCTAGTGTCAAACAGTTGCTGATGTAGGTCAGGGCAGCTTAAGACATATGTAAATGGAACAGTTGGTACAAAAAACTACAATAAGAGAAATTTATAAATAAATTTAAGTCTTGTAATTCCCAATCTTAAGACTTCTTAGATAACCTAAGAGATCACATAAAAAGCTTAGTTATGGATGTCAGGGGAAACTGGGCCTCGGCCCTCAACACTGTGCACCTGTCCTTATAGTATGCCGCAAAAACAGAGGCATTCCAAGAGAGCTACCATAAAATGTATTTCTTCATCTCTAAAAGTATGTGTGCGTGTGTATGCACTTTATATAGCCCCTCCTATAAAACTTTTTTTGGTCAATGACCCCATGTTAATCATTTCATTCAGTTCATGGTTAACTAAAACAGTATCTCACTATACAGACTAGATACATTCCTGAAATCATTTTTTGGCAAACAAACATTTTCCTATTTTCTAGTTGTCCTACCTCCTAAGAGCATATTATATTTTCCAGTTATCCTGATTACAACACAAAGAAGACATGTAGGTGGTAAAAGGGGGAGAAACGTCTTAATCCTCAACTTGACAATAGCAGGTTCATAATCCACCAGGTACATGTATCTCAACCAAGAAAGCAGGAACAATTCTCATATTTCTGGAAAAGATGCCAATAAATGTTCTTGGGACCATATGCTAAATTTATTTCACCATTTTCCAAAATTCAGGAAGGACAAATTTCTGTGGCCAATCATCTGAATCAACAACATTCCACTAAGTGACTTTCTTGACTTGCCTGCCACTCTCAGAAGCACCAAGTCCTGCCATGTTTACTGGGCGCCTATTCTACATCAGGTGGCCTGCGTACACATCTTCCTTTGATCTCCATGACAGCCCTGAGAGGGCACTATTACAGTCTCAGCTTTACAGATAAGGAAAGGGTGAGGGATGCTGAGCAACAGGACCCAGGGACATTTCTACTAAACAAAAGATTTGAATCCAGGTTTTGAATCCAATTCAAATTCAATTCTGGATTTGAATTTGAATCAAATCCAAATCCAATTCAAATCCAGGATCTGAATCCAGGTTAGCTTGATTGTAAAGCTCTCTCTTCATCCTCTCTACAATCCTCATATATCGACCTGAACTTCAAAATCCTTTGTTTCTAGGTTTTCTCAAGGGTCCTCAGAGAGCTACCACATGTAGGAAACACAATGTAAACCCTATGGTTATGACTACATACTATTTTAGATACTATCGAAATGTATGTGCAGCCCCAAACTTCAAATCTAATGACAAAAAAATAATTCTGAAAATCAGCAATATAAGGTCCAATCTTTTGGGCATGAAGAGTCTTACATTGATATTTTCTAACTGCAGTAGATGTACTGTATAATATGACTTCACATCTTCTGACAAGAACTTCACACTGAATCCTGTTTCTTTAAACAGCATCTCTCGATCATCTTTTGTCGGCCAGTACTGTGCACATTTAACCTAAATTTAAGGATATGTAGATATTAGTTCATAGACATTATGGAACTCTAAAAAGCTGGGAATGGAAGACAAACCACACACATACATGTTATATTTTTTTCAAGTACCCAAATCTACGAACAATTGTACTACATTAGATGATCAATGTATTTTAATAAGATTGGCATTTTATAAAAGCAGGTCTGTTAAATGTTACTATAACTTATAGTAAAAAAAAAGCCATCAACAGATACGTTCATAAAAGTGAATCTGTCATTTCTAAAGCGTGATAACCTATATTTTAACATCATACTGGCAATTCACTTTACATTTCTAAAATTATCAACCCCTTGAAAGAATCTTTTCTTCAAACAGTATTGAAAAGGTTTTATTTTACAAGTATTTTCTACAAATACCTGTGAATCTGCTACCAAATACTACTTACCTAGAAATAACAAAATTAAGTCAGGGGAATGAATCATAATATAAGTCTCCTTAGGGGCGCCTGGGTGGCTCAGTCAGTTAAGCATTGGACTTTGGCTCGGGTCATGATCTCAGGGTCCTGGGAAAGAGCCCCCTGTCTCAGGGCTCCCACTCAGCAGGGAGCATGCTTATCTCTCTCCCTATTGCCCTCCTCTTGATTATGCTCTCTCCCTCTCTCTAATAAATAGCATCTTTAAAAAAAGAGTAAGAAGATAAGCCCCCTTTATCTAGAGTTAGTATATTTTGGCAGAGATACTAATATGGAATTCCTATTTGTGACGATAAAAGCAACTTCCCAAAAGCCAAAGTATGTGGCAAGGTGAGATAAAGAGCCACTTCGTTAGGGGGAAAAAAACCCCCACAAAAATATCCTTATAAAATATGGTCATTTCTTCTTTTCCAAATCACAAACAGTTAACAACACCTCCAAACAAATAATTTACTATAAGCTGATACTTCCAAGGGTGCTAAAAGACATTTTAAATAAGATCCAAGAGGTGTAAGAGTGTAAGTGAGAACAACTCAGAAATGCAGAGATAGGAAACAGAAAAAAACTAGGAATCAAAGAACACATCATTTCAGAAAGGAAGACGAAACTAAAAGGAACAGAGGCATGAATAAACACATCAGATAATGTCCTAGGAAAACAAGAAGAGGAAAAGGAAGACATTTCTTAAATAAAAAAGAAATGGAGCGAAAGACAGGAGTTAAGAGAAAGAGACAAATATAAAAATAAGCAAAGAAAATCTAGTGTGTATCACAGGAGGACCCAAAAAAGAACACTAAAGCAAGCAAAGAGTAAATACTAACAAGTAAAATGAATACAATTTAAAGAACATACTATGCATCTGGAAAAACTGACCCTTGACTAACCAACATTTAAGACTATTTTGGTAAAATTAACGGGATTTGAAGGAAAAAAAAAAAGCTTTTGGGTAACCTAGATAAAAAAGAACACATGACTTACAAAGGAAATAAAATCAGATATTCAATTGACTTTGTCAGTAATCTGTAATGCCAAAAGGAAATGGGAGTAATGTATTTAAGTTGCTCAAAGAAAAGCAAATGTGAGCCAAGATTTTATATCCTGCCAAAGTGACTTTTAAGCATTAGGACAGCACAGTAAACTCTCATCGACAGGTAAGAAATCAGGAACTATAATGCCCATGAGTTCCCTCTTTAGTATGCGCTACAGAATGAGCTATCTACAGAATGACTGGAGAGACAGCAGTAAGACCAACAGTGTAAATTAAATATATATTTATATATAGAACTAAGATTTTACAAGGGATATAAGACAGACCACAGTATAGGTAGGATTTTATATACTTTGACAATGTAGGTAAAGTACAACTTAAAAACAGAACGAGATGGGAAAAACATAAAAAATTTAAAACTTATTCAGTAATTACTTTGGTGATGGAGCTGATACTCTTATTATGAGTATTTTTGGTGTTTAACATGGGACAAAGTAAATGAGTCATGAAATATTCTTTATCCGTTGTGTCTTTGAGAAGCTGGATTCATGGTATGGAAAAAGAAGGCAACTGATACAAGATGGAAAGCGTTAAGCCATCCCCCTACTGTTCTAAATTTGAATTGAAGTATCAGTATGAACCCTTGAAGTATGTTATCTAACACACAAACACATATTTTCCTTAGCTCTGTTCACTAAAAAGCTCTAAAAACAATGATAAACCCAGCATCAGTAAACATTCCTATTTTTACTGTCATCTTGAAATACCATTGTCCAATAAAAGAAACCAAGGATCCTTAGAGAAATGGCTGATTCTATGAAGAAGAGGTTAAGGAGTCATTCCAGATAGTAAGAAAATTATTAAAGACTCTTTGGTTTTATCTCTTAGATTTCTGACTCAGAGCCCAACTTGCAGAGATTCCTGCTAGCTAACAGAGAAATAATTCAACTACTAAGACATATAATAACTGCAATGGAGCCATATATGATTAAATCTAGGAGTTCATAGTAACTGATCCCTTCCTGCCCCTGTCCCCACACCAAAAAAATCTAACTGGTCACCTGTTGAGACACTAGGGAATCAACTATTTTGAAAACTGCTTTCCTATATAAAAGTGGTCAACTAACTAGAAGGGAAGTTTCTTTCTTTCTTTCTTCCTTTTTTTTTATTTGGTAGAGAAGCGGGGCGGGGGAGGGAGAGGAAGAGGGAGAGAGAAACTTAAGCAGACTCTGTGCTTGATCCCAAAACCCTGAGATCACAACATAAGCCTAAACCAAGAGTCAGGCGCTTAACTGACTCTGCCCCTAGGCACTTTGAAAGTTTCTTTCTATAGAAGTATTCCAACAAAAATTTAAGAGGGAACGATAAAATTGGAATATCACTATTTTGTAACCCTTAACTAAATAAGGAACTAAGCACTGACCAGCAATGCCTGCTAACAGCATAAAAAGAAAGATAATCAGACATTAGGGGCCTCTTCATAAACAAAGCAATATCACCCATGAAATAATCTTCCCCAGAATTATTAAACTTGAATCTTATGAGGCACCTAGTCCCAACCACCATAAATATGATCTCTAATTTCTAGTGGCCCTCTTATCTTATGAATATAGTAATTATACTCCAAAAGGAGAGATGAAACTTACACTACTTTGCAATGCTGCTCATATTGTTCAAACAATGTCATCATCACTTAATTTTTAAGTCACATTGGAAGCCATGAAAAAGCCACTGTAAACAACTATGCTAACATTGCTAGACATTCTGGTATGTGAATGCCACTTGGGATTAGAAAGAGAGTAGAATAATTTGTACCACCATCGAAGGCGACCAAATATTAATTTAGATAAAAGTAAGAATCAGGAATCTGAAGAAGATCTTAGGCTTGAAAAGACCTTACTGACAATACTTTCCAATGTGTTTCTTTGACAGAAAAAGAACCTAAAAGTGCAAAAGTTAAAAGATTTAACTAATTAGCACTGTGTTTAGACAGTACCTCAAGTTTCAATAAATTTATACATTCCCAAACTTATGGTCTCATGACCTAAAAGCCAATAAAAATTCATATAGGTTAACAAAAACCTGTCACTTAAATCTTTTACAAACTTTTCAAGATTTTGATGATAATAAATTATAAAAATTCTAATAAAGCCTAGGGAGTCCAAAGCTCTATGTCACCACTGGTCAATATGTGTTTCACTATATTTACATCTTGGAGAGTAGTGGTGTACAACTATTGTTTAAATACTTAAGCCAAGATACTTGTGATCTCTGTCTGTCAAATAAATAAATAAAATATTTAAAAAAAAAAAAATAAATAAATAAATACTTAAGGCAAGAAAGGAAAAGGATATACTACTTCTGGTAAGGAATACCCTGACCAGAGCCTTTAGCAATTCAAGGCCAAAACCAATAAATTAATGAATATCCCAAAAGAAATATGAAAACATTTATAAGCTAATGATACAGGCAGTACACTAAGTTGTAAATATTAAGTATTACTCACCGATTCCTTCTCCACAACTCGGTTTAGCATGACAACTGCTTTGGTTTTTTGCTGCCAAACCATGAGCCAGAAATGGCAACCTGTATTAGGAAGTGGACCCTGTAAGAATAGAGAAGAAAAAGGAGGTAAGAGAAAGGAGATGGAACAAGGTTCAAGGAAAATTCCTTCAAGTATGCTTCTGGTTTAAGAACAATGTACTGAATCATAATAAGTAAATCATGAATTTAAATCCACTAGAGTAAAAAATCAGTCTGTACTAGTTGCTTATAAATGATCAAAACTGACTTTTATTGACTTAGGCCAAAAAGGAATTTTTTAGGTTATCAGCTGACTTTCAGAGTTGAGGGCTGGAAAGCCAGGCTTCAGTGGGAACCAATGTCAAGGCAAGATTCTGCTCAAAGGAGTCCACCTGGGACAGTGCTCCGGACCCTGGTACTACCATCACTTCACTTTGTTGGCATCGCGATAAGAAGGTGGCTATAGCAATCACGCATAACCTTTCAACAAACCAGAGTCAAAATATGGACAGGAATATCTGACTGGTCATGTTCTAGCTGCAAAGAAAATTTCTGTCCCTTTCAGCTTTCATACCAGGAAGAGGCCTTGCCTGCCATGGATCATGGCAGTCCTACGAAAGAGGAAATCTGTACCATCACTGGCCAACCAACCACCCCAAGTGAACCAGAAAAAGATTTCCAGAAAAAGCAGAAATTTCAAAGTGCCTGTAGCTGCTGATCTACAAAACCACAGCATGTGTGACCTCAATAGAAGACTTAAAAGAGGCAATGGCTCATACTATGGGGGGGGTTCAAATCCAATTATCTTCACATTTTACTTAATGGGAGCACAGGGCAGAAGAAAGGGCAAATAAGAGATGAAAAGGCCAGGGTCAAATTATAGCTTATTTTACAGGTGAAAATGAATGAGGCTCTCCTGCAACTAACGGCCGAGTCAGCAAGCACTCTCCTCACAGGGCAGAGGGAGGGGCAGCTTCGGGCCGGAGGCCAGGTCTCCTGGAACTTCAGCTTCCCCTGACAAACAAGGTTTGAGGCTGAAAGCATCTTTTATGCAGTTGTATTCCCTGCTGTATAGCAGATTCCTTATTAATATTATTTAAATTAATAAACTCTAAGCTTCTACGTTATAAAAAGGCCAGAAATCCACTCAGAATCCCGAGTAATGACAACCAAATGTTTGAAGATACTGTTCTCCTCACTCAATGTGTATTATCTATTACTTGATCTACTTCTAAAACAAAACGAAGTGAGAAAATCACCAGTTAAAATGAATGCCTTTTCTTTCATTTAGAAAAATGGATCTATCCATTCACCAGAGAAATCACTCCTTAGTGTGTATACATATGGAAACACAAAACACATTCTGTCAGTGGTTCTAAGGTCGTAGTGTGGGTTATTTCTCAGATCTTCCACCTACAAGCAATACTAACAGTTTTTGTTGTTTGTTTGTTTTTTGCGAAGTGGAGATTTACAGCAAGGAATGATTATATATAATTTTTTTTTTTTTTTAAATTCAGAGGAGGGGTGCCTGGGTGGCTCAATCAATTAAGCATCTGTCCTTAGCTTAGGTCATGGTTCCAGGGTCCCGGGATCGAGCCCCGCAGCAGGCTCCCTGAAGCAGGTGGGAAGCCGGCTTCTCCCTCTCCCACTCCCCCTGCCTGTGTTAGCTCTCTCACTGTGTCTCTGTCAAATAAATAAAATCTTTAAAAAAAATTTTTTTTTACAGAGGAAAAAGGTGACAAAAAGAAGCAACAAACGACAATTAGAATAGCTAAGGTTTTAACAAACATTCAGCATCTCTAGTTTTGTGTCCTATAAAATATCCCCAGCCTTCGAAGAGCTTACTAAGAGGCAAGGAGAAGTCCTTGTTCTACTAACTGAAACATATCAAGCACCACAAGAGTGAGGGGTAAACCATCAGATCTTCCCAAGTAGGGAGGATGGTACAACAGAGCCTTAAAAATGAGGAGGGAACTGATATAGGGAGGCATCGTAGAAGGACAGGGAGCAAGCCAGGGTCCATTCCAAGAATAAGACAAGGCACGTGCAAGTATAGGGTACATTTGGGAGAGACAAAGAAACCAATGAGGGCAAAGTAAAGGTAAGTATACAGTAGGAAACCACACCTGTAGAGTGTGGAGGGTCCTGAATGCAGGAAACAGTCACCAAACTTTTTAAGAAGTAAAGTGATGTGATCAGATTTGTATGTTACAAAAATAACTGGAGGCATTGCTAAAAAGACAGGTTAGGAAGGGAGGGACTGGTAGCAAGGAAATAAATTAAAAAGCAATTGCATTAGGATTCGGTAGAAGGTGAGGATAGCTTTCACCCAGGTGGGAAAAACAGGAAGCGAGCTGGCTTGGTTTAAAAAAGGAAAAAAAAAAAACAAAGAAAAAGAAAAAGAAGAGTTAGATGTAGAAAATACAGAATTTGCGATGTAAATGAGTCATCTGGATAAAAATATCCAGTGAAGACCTGGGGGATAATTATAATAACATAGGGGGGAAATTCAGGAAAGAATAAAAAAGCCTAAGACAGCCTTCCGAGTCCTCCAACTCTAAATGCGGGGAGCTCTATCAGGACACACAGCACAGTCCAATAGGGACAGGGCACTTAAACACAATTTGTAGGCATTTTTCTTTATCACAATGGGATTTACAACATTTTATAAGAGAACCATTACTACTACTATTACTACTAATAATAAAGAGCAGTAACACATGCCACAATGAATAATCCATGGAGGGCTTACCACAGTACCAGGAACTATAAAAGTTGCTCTTAGCACTGTTTCAGAGATAATATAGGTAGACATCTATAATATAGATATATACACATAGGCTTGGGGAGTTAGGTAGCTTGTCCAAAGTCACACAGCAATCTTATGGTAGGAGAGCTAAATGATTAAGAACATGACCCATGGAGCCAAAGGGACTTCAAATCTGGCTTCAACTCACTTGTTGCACGGGCTTGGTAAAGATGTTTAATGTTCCTGGTCTCTTTAGATAACTCCTCGTGCATAAAACCAGTGTTTACCAGAGAGTTATTTTGAACCTTAAATTATACAAAACACATAAAGTATAGAATAAGGTTACAAAATTGCTAGCTGTTACTAATTTTATTTCCTACTATGATGTAAAAATAAAGTTCCTAACAACAATGTTTTACGTAATGTCTATTTAATTTTTTAAAGATTTTAAGGGGGGGGAGGGGCAGTTGGAGAGGGAAAAAAAGAGAATCTCAAGCAGATGCTATGCTCAGCATGGAGCCCAACGTGGAGCTGGAGTCAGATGCTTAACTAACTGAGCCACTCAGGTGCCCCACTGCCCATTTTATTTAAATAATGCCTACCACACAGCAGATACTCAATAAATCTTTGTCAGATGAATGAATACCTAATGAAGTAGTTGGACAGGATTTGGGCACAGATGCTGTGAATCCAGTGTCTATATTCTCTTAAAATATAAAGGTTGAATGCAGTTTCCGAGAGTTGAAGTCTCAGATGTAGACTGAAAGGGGGGAATAAACTCCTAAATCAGAAACCTGAGAAGCACCTACAAAATTTAGGATTATGATGAGAAAAAAAGAACAAATAAACAAGACTGGGGAAAAAGGGAGAGAAAGAGAGAGAGAGAGAGAGAGAGAAAGAAAGGTGTGAGAAGGGATCTAGGGTAATTATTTCTTTTATATTTTTGAACATGATAGGTTTTTTTCAAACAGAAAGTAAACTAAAATTCTAAAAAATGAGTTTATTAAAAATGTCATAAATCCTCCTAAGAAAAACTCCAAATATTACAAAAAGGCAGAAAACAATAAAGTTTGATTATTCCTAATTCTTAGAAATAACCAATACTAATGCTGTATGTATAATATATTTAGCCAATCCCTCACAGATTATTTCTGTCCTATTATTTCTGGTCCTGTGCTATTAAAACTAAGCTGCAATAAACACCTTCACATATATCTTTATGTCTGTACATATTTAACTACTGAGTATTATAAACTTTTAAATCTCTGCTATTTTCACTGGTAAAAAATGAGAGGTGGCCACTGGTTTAAAATTATATTCCCTAATGACTAGAAAAATTATGTATCTTTTCACAGGTATATTGTCTACCCTTATATTCTGCCTTGAACTGTGATTTTATGTTCTTGCCATTTTTAAAAACGGTTTCTCTCTCTCTCTTTTTTTTTTTAACATATAGCAGCTACTTTAAGTAAAATGAAGTAATTAGTTTTCATTTCCTGTCAATCAGAAATAGTCCAATAGAATATCTTTTTACTATATGAAACTGTTGTCTCTTTCAATAACAGGTTATTCTGACCCAAATTTTTAAAAAGCTCAAATATTACAAACATATACCTTATCTTTTGAATTTAAAAATCATTAACTGGGGGATATAACAGCACTACTCATTAAGTCTCTTGTCATTTGATAAAGAGTAGCTGGTGTGGATAAACCAAAATAATTTCTATTTTCAAACAATGAAAGAGTACTAGTGCTGGAATATGGGTGTGGCCAATGTGCCAAGAAGCAACTGGGCAGAATGCCACAAGGAACCCTCATGCTTTCTGGCCTCCCAGCCAATATTCGGGGCACCTGGTCTTACTATCCTCACTCTGAGCAAAGGCCAGACATCATCAAAGGCATGTTCATATTCTCTGAAAACGTATGCCAGAGAAAGGGGTTGAGAAGGGCTTTTGGTTATGATAGAGATTATGTGAAGAGAATTTAACAAAACATTAACAAACATTTTGTATCAGTATAAAGGAAGGAAGGAAGATAATTTGCCTTAAAAGAACTAGTGTAAGCCATTCATTAAAGAAATTTCCTTTTTAAAAATAACTTTAATTTCATGTTCACGTACATACCTGCAAAACACTGAGGTATCTACATTTTACTACATAATGACAGAAAAAACTGAAATGGTATTTCATTTCCAAAAGAAGTAAAGACATCCTTTTAGCTATGTTTCAAAGCAGACCAACCACGGTAACTGCACTGCAAGGCATTTGCTTGACATCCCATCACTTGCCTGTGTTAAGATGTAACTCCTTTGCGCTTCTTCTATATCAACTAAACTGGCATTTATATAATCATTTTCAGCATTTTGCAGCTTAACACGACTGTGATCATCTGAAACAGAGAATGATAAGCATAATTGTCATTTCAAACTTCTCACTTCTTTTTTACTCTAATAGTAATGTTCTGGGTACTTTTAAAATGATAGAAGAAACAAAGAAAAATAAACTAGTACCACAGGAGAGTTGAGTCAAGTCCTAAATTATTCTCTTTTATATGAAGGAAGCATAAAAATGAAACTTGTTGTTCGTTACTGTGGTACTGGAAATGCTTTTGTTTGTAGTAGGTTAGCTACTGTAACAGAAAAATTAACCAAAGAGTAAAATATAGTAAAAGGAATAAAGCACCTACCGTCCTAAAAGTAAAGATTCATTTAGAGTCTTGGTGCCTAAGAACTGTTAGGTCTACCTACAAAAAAATCCAAAATGGCCTCAGATAGAGAAGACTGGATTTCCATGGTAGCTACTGTTCATTTTCTTCATTCAATTGATCTGCATTCAACTATATTTAAATAATTTTCAGTACTTAATTGTATGTAAATTAAGTGTTAAAGATTTTAAAATACAGACGGAATACTCTAATTCTTTTTCTTTCTTTCTTCTTCTTCTTCTTCTTCTTCTTTTTTTTTTTTAAAGTAGGCCCCATGCCCAATATGGGGCTTGAATTCACAAACCCAAGATTAAGAGTCGCATGCTCTACTGACTGGGACAGCCAGGCGACCTGGAATATTCTAATTCTTTACAGGACAACACAACAGATAAATAGATCTAGTTTAGATATATTTCTAGCGTTTAAAAGTAAAAATGTCACCATCTTCAATAACATGGATGACCCTACAGGGTATTATACCAATTGAAATAAGTCAGGCAAAAAAAAAAAAAAAAAAAAAAAAAAATGACTTCACTTATATGTGGAATCTAAAAAAAATAAAACAAAAAACAAAAACAGATGCATAAACCCAGAGAACAAAACCAGTGGCTGTCAGAGAGTAGGAGGGTGGGAAGATGAGCAAAACAGGGGAAGGGGATTAAGAGTTACAAACTTCTGGGGCGCCTGGGTGGCTCAGTGGTTAAAGCCTCTGCCTTCGGCTCAGGTCATGATCTCAGGGTCCTGGGATCGAGTCCCACATCGGGCTCTCTGCTCAGCAGGGAGCCTGCCTCCTCCTGTCTCTCTCTGCCTGCCTCTCTGCCTACTTGTGATCTGTCAAAAAAAAAAAAAAAGAGTTACAAACTTCTGGTTATGGGGCGCCTGGGTGGCTCAGTGGGTTAAAGCCTCTGCTTTTGGCTCAGGTCATGATCCCAGGGTCCTAGGATGGAGCCCCACATAGGGCTCTCTGCTCAGCAGGGAGCCTACTTTCCTTCCTCTCTCTCTGCGTGCCTCTCTGCCTACTTGTGATCTCTGTCAAATAAATTAAAAAAAAACTTCTGGTTATAAGTAAATTCCTTGCATGAGAAGTACAGCATAGGGAATATAGTCCATAATATTCTAATAACTTTTCTATGGCGACAGATGGTAATTACACTTATTGTGGTAAGCATTTCAGAATGCATATAAATGCTGAATCAATATATTGTGCACCTGAAAATAATATAATATTGTATGTCCACTACACATCAGTTTTTTAAAAACACGCCTCAAAATTAAGAAAATGTCATGAATGCTCATAAAAAACCCCAAAAATACAACCAAAGCATTAAGATATGAAGAGTACCTATCAGTAAGAAATGAGAGACCTCTGTTTCTAAAAAGTGAGCAAGGACAATACACAAAGACTAATAAAGTTGAATAACATTTATTTAATCTATTAAAGAAATGCAAATTAAAATGAAAAGATAACTTTTTTTTTAATTTCAAGATTTTTGGCAATTTTTTTTTTTTTTAATGATAATTCCCGGTGCTGTCAAGGCCATATCTAGCCCCTTAGTAAGCAGTAGATGAAACTATAAGAGAAGTTTCAGATGCCTCGTTGAGAGTAACAGGTATAAATCCTTTAAAATCCAAGGTTCCCATTTCTGCAAATGAAACCAACGCATATAGCCAGAGACAGACACAGGGATTAACAGTAACACACAAAAGGGGAAATAACACAAATTTCCAAAATGTACAACAATTACAGTATACATGAAAGATGTATTACTTTAATGGAGCCATTAAAAATCATGCTTTACGGTTAAAAAAAGTAAAAATCTCACAGATTTAGAATTTATGCTGATTTAAATATGTAGACTACAAAATTTTACCTTGTTAATCATTTTGATGAATAAGGAGACGTTTTCTCAGGGAGAGAGAGTACATGCGACATAACACAGTTAACACTGGCTTAGTATCCTAAATACACAACTGTCAGAAGAATGTAACTGAATTATACACTGAACACTCTGGAGAATACCTTCAATTTAAACTGCTTTCCTGAAGGAAATTTATACTAAATATCCTTTTTCTCCCCACTTTTTAAACTTAAAACAAAACCTGTTTACATTATCTCCATATGAAAGAAAATGGTAAATGGCTACAGTTTCACACATCAATTTATCTGAGATGTTTCTGCTGGACTGAACCCAAGACCTCTGTAAATATTACATGTCATTTGCCAACAGGAAAAACTAAGATCTTGTTATAGTAAATCACTTATACTAGTGTTCTCGGAAAGATGATGTCAGCAAGCACTTTTTTTTTTTTTTTTTAAACAGTCACTTTTTTTTTTTAACAGCTTAATCACCCTTTAACAGTTAAATTAGTGAGCTGGTAAAAAGGCCAGCTACCTAATTAGCAAAACAAAGACCATATATCTCCTAGATAACACTAGATAAAGCAGGAGAATGTCCCCTTGTAGAATGCCACACCATCCCTAAAATTCGTGTTCCACTAAATAGAATACCAAAGGAATGTATTTCCTCATGTTGTAATCACAGAAAGAACCCAAACCCCAAAGGTTAATCCTATCTATTGCACAAGTGAAAAAAGCAATTTGGCCAACAGAAGCAAGAATCCATAAAAACCGGGAAAGTTCCTCTCCAGCGCGCTGGGAATGAAGTTATCTTGCAGGTGGTCATCTGAAGAAAAGGAACCCAGAGAAAGACCTTTGGCAGTTTATACCCTGCCCTTGGGACCTTGAACTAGAATTCAGTTTTTTCCCCTCTAGCTTTAAAATCTACACCAGCAGTCACTCCAATACATTGAAAACACAGAATCACACAGTGGTAAAAGCACAAATACATTTCCTGGAGCCCCAGGGTCTGACCAAAGGGAGCAGAGTGCTACCTAAAAGACACCCAGGGTCCTGCAGAGTCTGGCCCCAAATGGTGGCCTTGCTTCCCTCTCACATTTATTTATACAGTCAAGAAAAGCAAAGGAACACTGAGAATTTTCTCAAGAAAAAATTTTTAAATTTTGCCAGCAGATTAAGACCAAAACATAAAGGTACTCCTTGGGAAAACTCTCTAGCTACTTAGAACTGGCTACAGATGTTGGTTGAACCTATATTTTCATCTCACAACTAATTAGAAACAAAACTCTGTAATTCACCTACATTATCAGAAATTTATTTTAATTCTTCTGCTTTATTAAGAAGATTAATAAAAACTTTAAAGCATATTTAACATTCTGATTCCATAGGGGAAAAAAGAGAATTTCTAGTGTTAACTAAAATATATCATGTTAAAACTATCTACAAAGATAGTAACTATACAGTACATTTCAGGAAGTGAAACTATCAAAGCCTTTTTATGAGAAACTGTGACTTTATGATTTATATTCTCTAGCAAAGATAACAGACAATGGCTCGTCTCCAATTAGGAATCATCACTTCATATATGGCTTAAAATATCTGTGAGAGCAGACACAGGTCCCCTCACAACCTGGGAGTCAAACGTCCCCTTTCTCCCTGCCCTATTACTATCAATCAGCCCAAAACCTGTGAAGTGTTCATTTCAAAACAGAGTTCTAACTTCTGAATTTGTATAAAAAAAAATAAAAATAAAAACACTAGAAAGTTAAATGCTTTCTCCTCTGCCAGAGTTTATTCTGCCCAGAAACCTCTGAAATGAGATTATTAAAGAGTCCTATAATCCCTGGGCTCTGAGTATTAAGCCCCAAAGCCCCCAGTACTTTACCATCATTCTAAATAAGGATATGGTTATCTCCCTTTTTCCTAATTTTTTTTTTTGGAAGATTTTATTTATTTATTTGACAGACAGAGATCACAAGTAGGCAGAGAGTCAGGCAAGAGAGAGAGGAAGGGAAGCAGGCTCCCTGCGGGGCTCCATCCCAGGACCCTGAGATCATGACCTGAGCTGAAGGCAGAGGCTTAACCCACTGAGCCACCCAGGCGCCCCCCTCTTTCCTATTTTTAAAAAAATCCAGAAAAGGGAGAAAAATGAAGACAGTTCAAACTGCACTACATGAGATACCCAAAAGTAATCACAGGAAATCTTATTTCTCAACATCTAATAATACCAAAAGCTGAACTATCAAGAATGTATATATGTACACATATATATATTTTTAAATGGGGGCACATCTGTTCTTAATTCTTGTCACCAAGTGAATGAAGAGATGCAATATCCAATAGAATTGTAGCTTGTAAATTGGATAAACATTGAGCAAACTTCTGATGAATATTCCCTTCACCTCCTACCCTCAAACAGTATGTTTTCTGAGAAATGGTTTCATCTGTCAAGAAATGACGCTCTAGTTGTGGCCTGAGCTGACAATACAGATTAGCTTCCTCTTTCAATAATGTCACAATAAGCCTTTTTTTTTTTTTTTTTAATCACCCCCTGCCTCCTTCACTGGTTCACCTCTTATCGTTATTGTAAAAATATCTCCTTTTTGAAAAGTCTTCCAGGTCAAACAGGAAAAAGGATTCACACTCATAACCATCCTCCTAGGTTATACCAAGGCAGAGATAAACAATCATTATCATCAACTGGACAAGGAGAAGACCAGTTCCATTAGTACAGCAGTGAAAGACTTTCCCCTCTAATTCTTCTGTTCTCAATCAGAGGGAAACCATAAGTTTTCAAAGACCAATGTCTATATTTTATATGTTACCT